TTTAGTAAGTATCTACAGTCGGCATCGCTGCGCCATTTTGAGAAGGCGGCACGACATGAGAACCCTCTCATCGTAGCCGCTGGAAATTACATACCCGACCCAGTAGACCGAATGGTAAACCGTCGACGTCGCCCAAAGCACGTCATTACGGATCCTCCTGATCCATTAACGGTGCTTTTAGGCACCACAAGCACCGGTCACCGTCCTCGTCGAACCCGTCGCTTGCGACGAAGGGCTCGACGAGCGAACTAACCCATAGACACAGCCCACTGAGTTTCTCGCCGGATCTTCTCAGTGGGTCGCGTTTCCGATCCGGTGGTAGATTCAGCGAAGCACTGCTCTTGCTAGGGTCAGTGTTAGCAACTCTCCGGTTGAGCCCCGCGAGCTCACCTACTAACGTTAGGGTGAAGCTGAAGTAGCCTCTCAAGGCTATCAGCATAGGTAGGAAAAAAAAAAAAAAAAAAAAAAAACGGTGGTTTGTTAATTATTTAATATCTGTGAAAGTGCACAAATGTGGGAAAATGAAATAAAGCCGCTGCGCTGGACGTAACTTCACGGGATCCTCCAAAAAGTTCACTGTAAAAAATCTCAATAAATAACCACCATTTTACTGAGATATTTTATATTCAACCCATATCTCATCTCATTTCATTTTATTTCATCCCAGTTGATTAATGTTAATTCAAATTAATAATCTTTATTTCATTTCACTCCATATTATCATTTTTCATAAAAATAAGAATATAAATTAAAATAAGACATGACTTAAATGTCTTAGTTACTATGTCACAAAATCCCTTAAAAAAAATCACTCACTATTAAACTTCGCCACACTACACGATACAGCCAAATTAAAACATCGTATTATTAATGTTAGATTTTACCTTCACATATGGATCTCGTGTCGGACGGCTCCGGCTTCTTCACGAGTGTAAGTAATGAGTGTAAGGTGCGAGCGCGTCTTGGATCTCCGGTCGGAAGCAGAGCCACGCTCGCTGCTAGTAATGCCGCAGCTTCGAAACGTCGGGCCACGAGAGTATGAGGGATTATCTATATAAATAATTCACGTTATCTTTTGCCGTGAAGCAGTAATGCGTTTCGGTTTGAAAGGGGAAGGCGTTCTAACTATACTTGAGACCTTAGAACTTATATCTCAAGATGGGTGGGGCACTACGTTGTAGATGTCTATGGGCTCCAGTAACCACTTAACACCAGGTGGGCTGTGAGCTCGTCCCACCATCTAAGCAATAAAAAAAAATACCGTAAAGAATTCCACCTACTTCTCCCAGGGTGAGTGACGACATTCACTACCTCATATCTATGAACCCCAGTATACACATTTAGTGCAATTCAAATCAAAAACAAACCACAGTTGCATATACTGTCTCGCGGTATATCACTAATCATCCTCATCAGAATCTGATCGGTTTGCACCCGTGGTATACGATTCAGAAAAATATTTTTAGAAAAGGATGCAAAAAAATCCGTTCCTGAAGCCGAAATTCATCGCATTACTCCTTAAAAATGCGAGTATCTCTAAATCAATCTACTTATTTTATGTATAAATGATCACAGTAATTATATTTTAGTTATTCAGATTCACATAACATTGGAAATTGTAATAATGTAGCTATTTTCGATAGTCAGCGGCCATAATTATTTCTTTATTGTGTATACGAGTATATTCTTCATTATTGAATAATGTGCGTAAAGGTTTGGTTTATTTTGTTAAGTATATTCCGACCCAAATCCTATATTCGCAGCTAAAAAGTTCTTTATTCGCGGATCCAATTGGTACATACACATTGATAAAAAAGATTCCATTAAGTCCAACCCAACGTATCCGTAATCCAACCCAATATATCCTTTGTAAACGCGCTTTTCCGTATTCACGTTTCCTGTATTCGCGGCATATAGAACATATACCCGCCAATAAAGAGCTTTTATTGTACATGTATTATCAATACTGTACGAGCGAGGACAATACAGTGATGTGTACCTAAATATATGAATAGAAATTTCTAGATCTTACCCTAGGCATAGTGTCGGCAGCCAGCGTTAGAAACCCAGGTAGTGTTATTGGTTTATCATTGTTTATTAGTTCTACTAAAAGATCGTTCGAGAATGATTCGTTCAGGTTCAGCGTCTCACAGCACCAGTTTAAGATTGATACTTTTAGACTATTTGGTAGACCACTGCAATTATTATATAAAAAAAATTACTAATGTTCCTTGAATAATACTAATGTATGTACAATCGAGTAACCGCAAACTTTTTGATTTGTCATCATTCAGTCAACAATGGATCTTCACACCCAAGTCGAATATGTACATACGGTATTCATTTATGCATTCCTAACCATTCACGTGACGATGACGATAGGCTCTACTAATTGCAGGTCGCATTAACCGACATTATTTTATTATTTTGGATATCTCAGTGTCTCGTCAAATCGGAGAGATACACTCCTGATATTTTTAAAGTAAACCATTGACCGAAGTATCAATAAAAACGGTGCTTTAGTTTTTTCATTAAACATATTCGACGCTTGAAAGGCAAACGTGAATAAGGGACAATGCGTGAACTTTATAATAGACTAATTTAAAGTTGAAATACCTGAAAAAAAAAATATTTTAACGAATCTAGCTGTAGGATTGAAATGATTTTAATAGACCTAGAAATATTTTTTTTTTGCGCATCGTTTATGGTTATTGCCTATCATTTATGTACAAAGCAGTTACTGTCGCTTAGTCGCGTTTGCCTTTCAAGCGTCAATATGCAAGCAAACGCAACTAGAAAACCTAAAAATAAAGTGAATTGAAGACATTTAAATTGCCTATACTGAAACTAAATTTAAATACTTTACAGGCAAGTAATAAACATATTTTAGATAAAATTATTGTGTCACCTTCATATCACCATTCGTGTCACGTTCGTTAGATTTACTTAAAACTTTGTAACAAATGATTTCAAATACCTACTATGAAAAAATTGACTCTGCAGGAATCGGAATGTGCGTATATATTTATAAATATAAATAATTTTCCCGTTTAATTACATAGAAATCTTTCGTGACCGTGAAAACTGTAAATAATTAAAAACGTCGGAAATAATTGATGACAATTTAAAAACACGAGTACTAAACTGTAAAAGTAGTTTTAATTATGTATGTCTTACGACTCTTATATGTCTTAACGGTAGGCAGCAGGTTGGTTCTGACCCTGGTATTGCTAACGTCCATGGGCGACGATAGCCACTCACCAGGTGGGCCGTATGTTCGTTTGCCTACAGGGGCAATTAAAAAAAAAAAAAAAAACCGGAAAGGGAAAGCATATAATTACCTGTCGATCCACATTTCCTTACTACTAGTTTCGATGCTGTTGTATTCATATTGAACACGTGTCCACTCGCCTCCATCATTTATGCTAAGGGCTTCATCTAAAGTGGTGACACTACCGCGCCGCAACGGTGAATCTCTGTTACAATTTTCACCCAACACAGTATGTTCAAAGGAACTTAGTGTAGAGCCTTCTTTTCTGGTGCTGAAAAAAATATATACACAGCAATTTATTTTAAAATATTACTGATTGGGTCTACTTCAAAAAGGTCTTGTTGTTAAAACTCACATAGTACTATTCTTTTCACTCTCAATCATTTCGAACTGTTCTGGTGTTGCACTATGTGTAGAATTTCCACTCCCGTAATGATTTTCTGAAGCCGTACAAGTTATTGGTGTAGTATCAATAGCCTGTTCGGCTTCAATCATTTTTTCATCTTTTGTGTTTAAATCAAGGGCTTTGCTCTCGATGGCAGGACTTGCAAGAGAATTCAAACTGACAATAGCAGCATCATACAATTTTTGAAAATTTTGCTTCTCCATCTCTAAGGCCATAGCCTTTTGTTTCAGCATTTCTATCTCTTCAGCTTGAATGAGAAGCTATGAAAAAAGTTATATTAACATAATATAATAAGAGAGGACGACCCACTTGGTTTTATCTACCAAATAACTTAAACTTCACACCACTTAGACAAAATAAAATGACAAATGTCAAATAATATTTTAACTCACCTCAGCTGCCCAATCATTATCATGATCAATCGAGTCCTGGCAACTGACACAAATACTCCTTTCATCAAGTTCAGTCTGGCATCCAGCATCTATTTGTTGCCAATTTGTTTCAGTTGATGAGTCTACTTTAGGTACACTCAATACTGACTCTCCTCGGAATAGGGAGACTATTCCTGCGGGTCGAGGCATATTCAAACCTACATCATCCCAATCTTCGAATTCCTGGCAAGAATTCAGTACATGTAATACAATTATAGATTTAAATCTATTAGTTTAAATGATCTCTCTAACAAAGTTGTGTAAGTGATTTTACTGAAGTGTAGGCTTTTTGGGAAATAATATTTAATGATATCAATTATGATTTTCAGTGTCCCTCTCCAGAAAGATAATATAGATGATACTCTACTATTGTTCAGTCAAACGTCGACTGTTTTGAATTCATTATAGCAACTCATAATTGCATTATAAAAACTTTGTTAGTTTTATAATAATATTGTATATTTTCAGCTTACCTGATCAGGATTCTCATCAGAAAATGTAATTGAAGTTAATTTATAATCTTGCATAAGTAGATATTCATTAATCAAGAAATTGAGTGCTCTCTTCTCATGTGGCTTTAAGGATCTCTGGTCACATATTTTTTGGGAACTTTTATCTAATGTTGATGAACCATCTAAAAATTAGTGTAGAAACATATTCATAGCTATTTTTTTTTTAATTCATAGCGAATTTTATGTTATAGCGAAATTTATATTAGTAATCTATAGCTTTTACGGACATTGCGTTATAACTAGTGACCATGCATCCAATTGACTTGAAACTTGGTATCCATGTAGAAAATACATGTACTTAATGGATAGACTAATATTTATATGAGCGTTGAACTCCCTACACCAGTTGCGGGGGCGTTAATGATGAGAATCTTTGTGAGGGTGAGAAATAATAATGTTAATTTTAAATGCCCAGTGAAGCAGACCGGTACAGCTAGTATACTATAATAACGAAAGATAATATAAGATAAAGCTAGTAGTATTGTGATGTCAGACTATATATTATATATGATCCACCCTTGATCTTTAGACCAGCAAAGTATTGTGATATATAATTCTGTACAGTTTAAATTAATGCTGAAATTCAAATACATCAAGTATAAGATATATGTTTCACTACCTAAGCAGTCATAATGTAATGTACATCCGCATAAAAGAGAACAAAGTTCATTAGTAATAAAATAATAGGTATCAATTTAAAAGATCATAGTTTAAGAAACAAAAATCTGGTAGTACCTTTTTTTTATTGCTTAGTGAACTATCTCACAGCCCACCATTTTTTTTTATTGCTTAGGTGGGTGGACGAGCTCACAGCCCACCTGGTGTTGAGTGGTTACTGAAGCCCATATACATCTACAATGTAAATAATGCGCCACCCACCTTGAGATACAAGTTCTAAGGTCTCAGGTATAGTTACAACGGCTGCCCTACCCTTCAGGTTTGATTTTTTTATTACACTATTTTATTCTTTCACCATGGAAATCAATTGTGAACACTTGTTGAGTACGTATTTCATTAGAAAAATTGGTACCCGCCTGGGATTCGAACACCGGTGCATCGCTCAACACAAATGCACAGACCATCATCCTTTAGGCTGCAACGACTTCGAATCTATCTGTGCAGACCTACTCAATATGGTCTAAAGTTTTACATTACACTTCATATTGTAAAATTCTTACTCTGACATTCAACTTTACAATTAAAGTTTTCTTAGGGAAACTAAAAAGCCAAAGTGAGATTGAAGTGAATTATAGTGAAAAATTATTATATTTATAAATCACAAAACTACTAGACATAATATCAACTTAGGTGTATATGTTCAATTTGCTTTTTAATCTCAATTTTTTGTAGTTTATTTTAGATCACTTTTCATGTTTCAAGTTCATAACCAACCTGCAAACTGTGTAAGATTAGCCCTTAGGGAATTAATAGTTTCCCTTGCCTTACGCAGCTCAAATTCTAGAACAGCCACATCACCCCCACTACCACCACGGTCACCTCCACCATCTTCTGAATATCTTGCTGTGTCCAAAGAGTCTAAAGTTGCTTGACTTGGAGTGCGGTCTATAAAATAAAATAAAAAACATCAGTATTTTAATTATATTTGGAAAATTTTAGATACCAGTTTTTTTTTTATAACTTTGATTCTTACATTGCTCTAAATAGCACTAGATTTTACTGAATTATGTTAAATTTAAGGTTTTCAAGACGTAGGAGAAACATGAATTGGAATATATCTATTTATTTCCCGATTTGCATAAATTGCCTAAATTGCCTAAATTTTGGACTTGAGTACTTAAATCATTACAAAAACTGTCCATGTATAGTATTATTGAAATGTTGGCATTTCAACTCACGTATAGAATTTAATTCAGATGCTCTAGAAACATGCTGTTCAAAATTTCCAGGATTCGAGAAGAATTCTCTAAGTTGAGGAAGTTCCTTGCCGCTCTCTACAAGCTCAGTGTGGAGTTCTAAGGCAGTCAGGAAGAAGTTGTCTTTTAGCAGTTTTGTAGCTATATCCTCATAAGACAAATGAGGTGTATCGAAAGATGACTCCTCTGTTTCCTTGTACGGATTCATGGTTCAAATTTGAAAAGAAATCATTACAAATAAATAAAGATTTTTGCTTAAATTTTAATCGTAACTTAGAAAGTAAAGTGATAAAATAAACACAGCAAACTGTTATTATGTATTTTTGACAGTGTGACATTAGCCAGTATCGACACTTGACAGTGACAGTCATCGGGAGCTTTGAGGTGAGGGCTTACAGTAGACGCGACGGTGAAATAAGGTCAGCCTGGTTTGTTAGTCTTGATTGAAACATTGATAACTGTTAACAGAATATTTATTGCTAGCTTAGAATGAGTGCTTAGGAAGCACAATGTACTAATTCAAATATTATGATGAGTAAAGGTAAAAATAATTTTTAGAGGAGCCAAGTTAAAAATGAAAAGAAAATGGAATAAATAACAAAAAAACTTGACACCGACAATAATGGCTCGCAATAACTATTGTGAAAAAAAGAAGAATAACCATGGCTAATTTACATTTTCCGTTATCCAATTGATTCTGAAAAGATTGAGGTAAACCAGAGCATATTGAATTTGTTTGGCCGTCTGTTGAATTTGATCTAAATTACGTGAATAATGAAATTACTTACATAAGTGCTCAATAGAAAATTAGGACTCAAAATAGTTGTGATTTATTTATTCAATAGATTGAATACTATTAATTAGAAACTACTAGTTAGATTTGCAGATTAATTTCGATTAATTTAAAGAATAGATTATTTGATCAATCGATCCCAGATCGTCATCTCTAATTTGCCTGATGTCAACTGATGTGACAGTTTGAACATTTTGACAGTTTAAAAAAGTTTTAATTCGATAATGTAAAACATTACCGTACATAATATGCATAAATCCAAGAGATAGATAAATAGATAATTAATAATGTAGGTTTGCAATGCTATTTATGATTCCAATTCAAAATCATTATAATATAGAAAATTTACTAGGTATCGTAATATATTGATGACACTACAAGCAAACACGACAAGCAAACATTTTCTTGAGAAAACACTACTACTGTCACTATAAGTCTACAAATCTTAATACGGATATAACCATGGGTGAGGCTTATTTTAATCTCAAACAGAAGCTCGAGGAACTAGGCTATAACAACACTTTGCCCTTGGAAGCAGTGCCATTAGTAGAATGTATATTAGCTGATCTTCTGCAAACTACGCGTAGCCTGCAGAACTACATGGATTTATCTAAAGAAGCATTACAACAGCGCGATTCACTCGTTTTACAAGCCGAACCATACAAATGCGATAACGCGAGGCTCATCCAGGAAAACAATAAATTACATAGAGAAATAATGGTATTAAAAGAAGAGAATTTTAAATATTCTAAAGAGATTAAAAGAAAAACGAAAGCATTGGCTGAAGAGCTTATCAAAAAGGATAATACAATCAGCAGACTTCAGCATGAGGTGCGTGATTTGAGTTTAAGAGGATTGTGTGCTGAAACCCAAAGCAGTCGTAATAAAAATAAGAAAAAAGATTTTGAAACAAATTTTAGTAAGATATGTGTTTGCAATAACACTAGAACAACTAATCCAGAAAAAGATATCAATAATTTAGCAGAAAAAATATTGCTATTAGAAGTAAAAAATGAGGAGCTCTGTGATGAAATACTGTTGCTTAAAAATCAGGTTGAGCATAGAGATAATGAAATTATTAGGCTAAATATTCTTTTAGAGGGTGGTAGACCACTGGCAGCAATAAGTAAGGATTGTTGTAAACCTAGTACTGACAGCCAGATACAGAGTTTAATCAAAGAGTTAAGGGAAATAGAAACTGAAAATGAAACATTGAAAAAAGATGTTCAAACTGGTTTAGAAAAACAACATGAAGCTATGCTCCGAGCTCTGACCTTAGCAGAGAAATACAAAGTTCTTCAAGAAGAGCTCAAGAAGGTGGATTTGTTAGCTCTTAAAGTTGAAGAGGATGCCAACAAAAAAATTTCAATTCTAACCAATGAAAATAATATCTTACAAACAAAAGTTGATTCATTACATGTAAGAAATTTAGAACTAGAAAAACAAATTTCATCCTATCAGATAAGAGAAAATTCAGCTACTGCACGAAAGCTAGAAGACTTTTTAGAAAGTAATAATAAAGAAAATGAAAAATTAAAACTTGAGAATATTAATTTATTAGAACAAAATAAAAAGTTACAAGAAAAATTATCCACTTTAAATAAATCATCCCATAGTGATCACATAGAATGTACAAAGTGTCCATCTAAATATGAATTACAATCCCTTCTTGAGGAAGAAAGAAAAAAATATGAAAAATACATTATAAACATTCAGGAAAAGATGACAAATACTATTGATGATTTCAATAAACACTTAAATATATGTAAAGATAAGCAAAGTGCAAATAACACAAGATCCCATGAAACTGAATTTATTCGAGATTTACACACCAGACTTTGTGAAAGTGAACAAAAAATACTAATGCTAAAAAAAGAAAATGATGAATATAAACATGACCTTATCTACCAGCAGAAAAGTAATAAAGAAAACTATAAAGATGTAATTAATCAATTGAATAATGAAAATGCTGATTTGTCCAAAGAAAATATGGCTCTTAATCAACAACTAAGTGTGTATAAAAATATGAATTCAGTTCGACATTCTAATAGCGGTGATAATTCAAAAAAAGAAATTGAAAAATATAAAGATAAAATAAAAGAAATGGTACATGAGATAGAAATTTTAAGAAAGGATAAAAAAGAATACAATTTCAGGTACAGAGAAGCTATGGATTTAGTAGACAAATATAAACGAGACTTGGTTCTTAAGCAAAAGGAAATTGAACATTTAGAGGAAGAAAACTCTTCATATAAAAAAACTAATCGAACTGGTAGAGCTTCAGCTGACCATTTGAAAGAAGAATGCAATTTCTTAAGAGAACAGATTAAAAATTTACAAAGTGATGTGATCAAAGAAAAGACCTTATCAAGTCAAATAAAAAATATTCAAATAGAAACTGAAAGAAGTACTAATGATATACAAAATGAGCTATTAAGTACTCAAAAAAAATTAAGCCTAAGTAGAAATACAATAGAAACATTAGAAAATAAATGTAAGGAATTACAGTCAGAAATTATTTCTTTAAGAAATGATAAGAGTAATTTAATAGATTCTATTAAAAAAGTTGACCAAGAGCGTGATAAATTAATAATGGAACTGGACCATAAGACTGAACGTTTGGATGTGTTTGAAGAGAAGTTGAAATCTGCAACTTATGAAACCAGTAAACTTGAAAATGAAATATCTGAACTTAAAAGGAAACTTAATATCAACAAAGTATCAGAACACAAAGTATTTGATTATGAAAACCAAATCCAGTTCTTGAATGGTGAAATCTTAAGATTGACACAGCAAATAGATAATGCATTAATGGAAAATAAACGTCTCCAGAATAGCTTAGCCGATACAAATGGTACATTGAAAATTACTAAAATTGAACATGAAAAATCAAGGAAAGAAGTAGACACTTTGAAACAACAACTCCAACACTATGTAGCTGAGATAAGAAGAATAGAAGAGTTATTATCCCAAAAAGAAGCAGAAAGGTCTGATATGTTAGAACAATTTGCAAGCTTATCTGTTGAAGCAAATATATTAGAAAATACCAATCACTCTTTAGAAAGTGAATCTGCATCAAAGACGATGCAGTTGCAGAATTATGTTAGTAAAATTCAGAGCTTAGAATCAAAGTTATTGGATAAGGAGAATATCATAGATAGTCAGTCAGCACAAATAGCAGCAATGGCTTGCAAAGTTAATACACTAGAAAACGAAATTAAACTCATAACAGAAGAAAAATCTATATTAGAACAAAATGTGTTACACTTAAAGCAGATGTGTAATAATTTACAGAAAAAAAATGCGAATTTAACAGAAGTTGAAGCAAGCGATTCAGAGTTGAGATTGTATGAAAACAGAATTAAAAGTCTATCTAAGTCAAAAGCCAGTTTGGAAGTGGAGAGAGATAGGCTGAACGAAAATTTAGCTACAACAGAAAGATTGCTTTCAAATGCAAGAAAAGAAATTGTAGAATTGAAATTAGCACTACAAGATGCCACATCAGAAACAAAGTCTCTACAAGACAGTGTAAACAGAATGAGTAGAAGAGAATCAGAGAATCATGAGGTATATATAGATACTGATTCATCAATTAATAATTTTTTATTTGTATTTCTTATTAATCAAGTAAACCTATATCATTACAGAACACCCTCACAAAGGATGAGTTTGAGCTGCCTTTAATGTTGGAAGAGATCCAAGAAGTTAGCCATGAAGAAGATGACTATAGTGCACTATACAGAGAAGAACATAGGGGATATTCAAAGTATAGCCACAGCAGTACTTTGTAGTGTATCTACTAGTGATCAATGAAATTATAACAGGGTGTTTCAAATTATTGTTATGTTGTAAATATATAGATTATATGAAAACCTACAATAAATTAATAAAATGTGTACAGTGAAGAAACATATTTGAATAGAATAATACAATTTTTGAAGAATTGACAACAACCCTGTCCCTTTTTCCCAAAACAATACCTAAAGCACTATTGCTCGTAGATATTTTATGTAGAACGCAAGATATTTGATAGATGCGTGTATCTCGCTAACGACTCTTAAGATAAGCTTAGTTTAAATACAAGTTTCGAACCAACAAATTCCAATATTTTCGGACTGTCGATCTACCGTGCAATTTGACCCGCTCGGTAGAAGAACTGACTTCCCTTTGTCGTTATCACCGAAGAACCGCATAGAATTGACATGACACATGCGATCTATATGCTAGCATGAAAATACATGATTTATGAGTTGTAGATGTACCAACGCTCCGATTTTGCTAGCATTCGTTGGCTGAAGGGTAGATGCCTGGTGAATCATTATTGAGTGATTGACAGGGTTCAAGACTTATATTAGAGCACAGTTTTAATACTTTCTGAGACATGTATTGCTACATGTTTACAAATGACGGCCATGCTGTACATGTGCATGTTCTTTGAAAGTAGGTAGGTATGGCATATGGACCCCAGTGACCACTTAGCAGTTGGATGGGCTGTAAGAATGTAATATTTAAAAAAAGCCTTAATAGCAAAATTCATTGACAACTAGAGTGTAGCTCAATTAGTAGAAATTGGGTGCTTATTTTGTCATTTTTTTCTAAGGCAACATAAATGATCAAGTAACATCTATTTCTTTATTTAATATTCAAAGCTATACAACTCAGAAAAGTTATAGAAAACAATAAAAAAAATATTTAAAAAAGCAGTTTATTTCTGGTTTAAAAATGACATTGTTCTTTTTATTAACTGTTTTGAATTTTCTTTAAATAATGTTTTGACTTATATACAAGGAGTAAAGGACGTTTTCTTAGTAGGTAATCCATCAAAAATTTAAAGTATTTAGGTATATATTGTTCCAAATTTTTTATAACAGACAATTACACTTCTATTTTTTTTTAATAACACTACATACACCAAATACTATGCCAATTTATTGCCACAAAACTTATACATAATATAATGACAATTGCTGAAATTTAAGAAGGCAGGTACACAATCATTCTTGCTTCTTACAAAAAAAATCCTTTGAATAAATTAAACACATGGGTTTGTTTTTTGGTAATCTTATTAAAATAAGTACAATTAAAAATTTATATGGTTATGTCTTGAATTGAGTGGGGCACTACAATCCCATTATTAAAACAAAGACAAAGAGCTACACTTTCAATAAGTGTCTCTTTTACACAATTTAAAATTATATATTATACAGTAAATCTCATTAAACATTTTAACTACGGTGGGATTATCAAATAATCTAAAGTAATGAATTCATTTGAAAAATTGAATTTCCAAATACAAAATTTCAGTTGAATCGACAATTTTCACTTGGAATGCTTTATCATTTACACATAATATATACACTATTTATACATACAGTATGGAAGAATACAAATTTATATTAATTGTCTCACTGAAGCATCAGTCAAGTTCACTAAAAAATTCTATTTCAATAATTACATATTTACAGCTTTTCATCTATTTTAAAATACACATTATTATTTATAAATTTGCATTAACATTTCACATTTACCAGCACTAGAATCAAATTGAATAATATATGTTTACATTATATTATTAGCTTAGTGTCAAGTTATTTGCTATTGTCTTATTATTTTCATATGGCTAAAAATTTATGTCTTAGTGTAATAACTACTTAATTGACAATCACTTATTTCATGTGCTGTGTGGGCTAGCTGTTTCATAAAATAGTAATACAGTGCAATTTATATTTACAAATTACAATGTTGCTAAAATTCTTGTAAATCCTATTCCAGCTCCTAGTATAGTTTGACCAATGCCCCAAACCATAGCATGTATGGGAGGCATCGCCATATTAGCAGCACGGTATATAAATGCTATGGCAGCACTGCAGGCTACACCCGAAGTCACTGGACCAACTACACCCATCACTATCAGCAGAACAGGAAAAAACTTGCCATATTTGTGCTTCCTTAGAGTTCCAATAGCTACAAGAGCTGCACATGTGTGCACAAACACTGAAGAACATAATGACCAAAGGAACATTGGGTACCACATTTCACCAAACGTATCTAACGGATCACCAGAAGTCAATCTTAATATATCCACAAATGAATCGAATTCTGAAACTCTGAATTCAGACAACATGTCATACATGTTGCCCTTCGTTTCTTGGAAACTAAAGGCATCTGGGTATCTGGCCTTTATTCTTTACCAAAGAAATCGTATGAGCGGTATAGAAACTAATGTTTCTGTTGGACGCATTAATATTTGACTGTTGTACTTATACAACATTATCCATTCGTTTGAAATTTTATGTGTCTTCACAATTTATAAAACTACTTTTTTAACAATTTATAGTAAAGCTAGCTGTCATATATAGCATGCAGCATTTACGTGTAAATTCTTTTGTCCTTAATATCCACTTTACCTAAAGAATACAAAGTAATATGGAGAAATATTACCTATCTACTCCCTAGTTTGTACAACCTGTCGAGAAATTGTTTTGAATTGACAGTCGATAGATTTGACGTTTTTACCGTGACAATACTAGTGGTTAAATTTTTTTAACTGAAAAGGCGAAGGTATTTTTTGACGGTCAAATTTGAGAGGACTGGGTTCTGCTGGTGAGGGGTTATTTAAAAACACTCTGCTTCATGTTTAATATAATTATATTGTAAATACTTTGTACACTATTACACCATTATAATATTTTATTTTTATAAAACTCTAAGATGTTGTTCATATTCAAACTCCAACATCCCCCGTCAACACTTGCACACATTTAACGCCCTGTATATAATTTAATACAATATTCCAAAAAAGAATAACACTAACCTGACCTTCATAAATTTAACATTACCTTCCATACATACATTAAAAACTCACAACCATTTATATTCAATTACCCCACTTAATCCCTCTCAATTCAACCTTTCAAACTTAATACCAACCTTAAAGCTACCTATATATTATATATATAGAATAAACGAGCAGTTTAAAGATATAAAATATGCATTTATCTGTTATTTAGGAATAAAGTTCTAAAAATTCTTAAAGGGTACTTTCTCAACTTAATATATAATAGTATTACTAGCGTATCTCAAAATAACACAACTTACTATTTTTTTGATTTGATTAAGTTGTATGCTACGTAAATAATTTAATTCGAGCTAAAGACTATTCTAAACTAAAGTTCCCTGTAAAAAAGTATAAATAAATTCATTTAATAAGACAGTGTTGTGTAATGTTTAAATTTCACAAATATATTGATTACATAGACAATACAATGAACATTATAACCAGAGATCAAAATATCTTTCTATTTTAAACAGTATTTAGAAATTATGTAGGTATAATATCTAATATCTAATATAATATATAAAATATATAAAAATAATATATAAAAGGAGGAGGATAATCTATCCTCCTCCTTTGTATCTATGTTCATAGTTATTTTATAACTACTGCTGGCGCCTCTGCCGTTTTGTTTTAACCTTTTCCATAAGGGTACCTTATCGATAAAATTTAATGTATTAATACAACATAAATCAATAAAAGCTTTAAATATTGTTCCTAAAAAAACAAACTTGGGAATTTTTTGTTTGTCATCATAGTAAGTATTTTTCAACTCATTTGTGCTAAACCTACAATATTTTGTGCAGTGTGAAGTAAGCTACTTTTACATTGAGTTTGACAAAAAAAAATGTGATGTGACGGTCCGTCCACACATAACCTCTTGTACTAGATTAAAGATCATTAATTGTGTAATAAAAGTGAAAAAGAAGTTTTTTTTTCCATAAACGTGTATTAAATCGCATACAAATATGGGAAAAGTTCGGTCGACTCCGGGTGCTCCCCGGAAACAAGGGTTTAATAAGTCTGGGCATTCAATGAACCCTGATCGACCCACAGAGGGTTTGAAAGGCGTAGGCAACCCTAGATCAAAAGGAACAATTAAGAGACTACAGATGTACCGAAACTTTAAGGCAAAAAGGGATAAAACCGGAAAAATTCTAACGCCAGCACCCTTTCAAGGTTGGTTACCATCAGGCACACAGGCACGCGTTGAACCAAACCAAAAATGGTTTGNTGGGCATTCGATGAACCCTGATCGACCCACAGAGGGTTTGAAAGGCGTAGGCAACCCTAGATCAAAAGGAACAATTAAGAGACTACAGATGTACCGAAACTTTAAGGCAAAAAGGGATAAAACCGGAAAAATTCTAACGCCAGCACCCTTTCAAGGTTGGTTACCATCAGGCACACAGGCACGCGTTGAACCAAACCAAAAATGGTTTGGAAATTCAAGAGTTATATCACAGAATGCATTGCAAAAATTTCAAGAGGAGTTTGGAGCTGCTGTAAGAAATCCATATCAAGTGATCATGAAACCAACGAATTTGCCCATAACATTACTTAATGAAAAAGCAAAAAATGCAAGAGTTCACCTACTAGATACTGAAGGTTTTGATAGGACATTTGGTCCTAAAAAGCAGAGAAAAAGAGTAAATTTGAAATTCAGCGATCTAAATGATTTGCATAAAGCGGTAGAAGAAAGCTCTGAGAAATATGATGAAACTAAAGATATTGACAGAGTCCGTGAAGATTCAGGTGTAAAAGAAGGACAAAGAGACTGGGTTTTTGGGGCTGGAATGAGTAGGAGGATATGGAATGAATTATACAAAGTAATTGACTCATCAGATGTGTTATTGCAAGTTCTTGATGCAAGAGATCCCATTGGGACAAGAAGTCCTTATGTTGAAAAATTTTTGAGAGAAGAAAAACCCCATAAACATCTTATATTTATCTTGAATAAAGTTGATTTGGTACCAAATTGGGTGACACAGAGATGGGTCGCAATTCTCAGCGCTGAGTATCCAACGATAGCATTTCATGCTTCATTAACACATCCTTTTGGTAAAGGCTCACTTATAAATTTACTACGTCAATTTGGAAAGTTGCACATTGACAAGAAACAAATAAGTGTAGGTTTTATTGGTTATCCAAATGTAGGAAAATCATCTGTGATTAATACTTTAAGGTCTAAAAAAGTTTGTAAAGTAGCCCCAATTGCTGGTGAAACAAAAGTTTGGCAGTATATCACCTTAATGAAGAGAATATTCTTGATTGATTGTCCGGGTGTTGTTTATCCATCAGCTGAAACCGACACAGAGAAAGTATTAAAAGGAGTAGTGAGGGTTGAGCTGGTACAAAATCCTGATGATTATATTGAAGAAGTTATTAAAAGAGTCAGAAAGGAGTACTTAGTGAAGACTTATAAAGTAGATGGATGGGAAACAGCTACTGAATTTTTGGAAAAACTTGCAGCAAGAACTGGAAAATTGTTAAAAAAAGGTGAACCTGATGTTAACCAAGTTGCAAGGATGGTCCTTAATGATTGGCAGAGAGGTAAATTGCCTTTCTATGTAGCTCCAGAGGGATTTGAAGTACCACTCTCTAAGCAAACACAAGATGAAAAAACTGTTGAAGTTGCAAACGAAGAAGAAAAGATAACAACTGAGACTAAAGCAGAAGAAAATAAACCTGAAACTAAAACGGACGATAGTGATAAACCTATTGTTCATATAAGTAATTTGATGATTGCACAAGATTTTGCTAAGATAAGAGTTGGATTAAAATTTGACAACAATGAAGACATAAAACCTTTAGGTAAAATAGTAATATCAGAAGACATTAAAGTTAAAGATGGTGAGAGTGTCCTAAATTCATCAGTAATTGAAAGTGATGATGAAATAGAAAAAAATGATGATGAAGACGACTCTTCAGATATTAGTGAATTCTATAGTAATGATGAAAAAGAAACTTCTGATGTGGAAGACCATTTGACTAACGATCCCGAAACAATTAAAGAAATGAAGAGAAAGAAATTAGAAGCTGCCAGTGGAGCATTTACTGTAGAAGAAGTAGCACAAAGTGGAAAGAAACACAAAATTAACGATCAGAGTAATGAGTTTTCAAATAAGAAAATGACTGCAAAGAAACGTAGAGCCATAGAAAGAGCTAACCGCCGCACTAAAACAGGAAGCAACTTCTATGAAGTGTCTAATGTTAAAAATAGAAATAGAAATAAGAAAAGGCCCAATTTACCTTAATTTATTGTTTAACATGCCAAGAAAATACACTTTTTTAAATAAAATCTTTTTAGATTAATGTGTTTGTTTTTTATTAGTATTTTAATTGCTTACGAAAATAACTAGCTTCAGCACAATCCTCTACTATGCTGCTTACAGAATATTAAATTTTCAATTTTTTTTGCTGATATTTCAATAATAAGCTGCCATTGACAATTTCATTAGAGATATTTTAATTTATTACTGAATGAACACTGAATAATTTCAAGTATGTAGGTAGGTAGTACACTTGCAGTATTTTTTTAAAGATAATTCGTATTGATTTAGACAAAAAATCGGAACTTGAATTTAAGTTTTTATTAATTCTCTGTTCTGCTATTTTCAGATGTCATCAGGGAGTGAGAGCGACGAAGACTATGTACCTGGAGAACCGGAAAAACTATCTGAAGAGGAATCTGCTGATGATGAAACTGAAAAACAATACGAACATGAAGTTGAAGGCAAAATAAAAAAACGGAAAGCTACAGCTGAAAAAATAAATAAAGTAAAGAAGTCTAGAAAGAGCCAAAATGATACAATAATACAAGTTACATCAGAAAAAGATAAAACACCTGAACCAATAGTTGACTCTGAACAAGAGAAAAAACGAGAAGAAGATTTGTGGGCGAAGTTTCTTGAAGGAACCGATTCAAAGCCTAAACCAGTTCTTAAAGAAAAAAGTGTTGATTTAGTTACCAACCCAGAAAGGTCAAGCAATAATACGGTAAATTATAAGAAAACAAATGATGATGATGCCAAAGAAAAAGAAAGAAGGATTTTTGAATTTGCTGGTGAAAAAATTGTAGTAGAAAATAATGTCATAAAAGAGCGGTTGAAAGTTGACGAAACATCTATGGAAGGTAAACTTAAAGCTCCCACTGTAAATGAAAGTTAAGAATATATAACAGGACTAAAGTTAAATTTGTAATACCAAAATATTAACAGATATAACTGTTCTGTGATGTAAGCCCATAAAATATATTTGTGTGCAACTTTATAGTCATAAATAATTCAGTATAATGAATCTATCTAAGCAGTTCTAAGTATTAAGATAATATGTGTGAATATGTACAAAGTATCTACATATATTTAATAGGTATTACTAGTAAATGCTGGTTCCTTCAATGAGGAGTTTGTGACTAGTGGCAGAACTTTGAAGCAACTCATTATATTTTTTTATCTTTGGTACCTGATGCTCATTCATAATAGACTGACGACTTACCATATTTTTAATACTATACTTTTAATTTTAGCCATTAAATCCGAAGGTTCCCAAAATCAAACATCAGATATAACAGCTCAGTCATCAAGTAGTGCAAAACCTGGTGGACTTTCTAATGTTTTGGGTCAACTAAACAAGAAAAACAGATTGTCTACTTTAGAAAAATCTAAATTAGATTGGGTCACTTACAAGCACGAAGAAGGAATTAACGATGAAATACAAAGTCACAACAAAGGCAAACAAGGGTGAGTTATTCATTAGAAATTAAAAGAAACACCACAATATATACCTATTAATAGCAACTAATTTCATCTTTTATCCTGTTGATAGTGCTCAAGAAATTATAGTGTACTTATTAAATTATTATCGGCATTGTCGTCGTTCCTCAAACGTCTTGAAGTCGGTATTAATAACATTCAAAGATTCCGTTACATACATACATACCTACAAATTTTTTTAAATTTTTTTTATTGCTTAGTTGCGTGGACGAGCTCACAGCCCACCTGGTGCTAAGTGGTTACTGGAGCCCATAGACATCCACAACGTAAATGGGCCACCCACCTTGAGATATAAGTTCTAAGGTCTCAAGTATAGTTACGACGGCTGCCCCACCCTTCAAACCGAGACGCATTATTGCTTCACGGCAGAAAATAGGCAGGGTGGTGGTACCCACCCGCGCGGACTTACAAGAGATCCTATCACCAGTAAGAACAAAACGGGCGCTTGGGCGAAAAATGTGACAGATCGGTTTTTTAGTTACAACGTCCGAACAAGTGAGTGTGCTTATTGCGAGTTTTTTTAACGTGCTCGATGGCGTAAAAGTTTACTCACATTTGTATGCAGTTGGAACAGCGCCCCTAGCGGTAAACGTAGGCAGTCGTAAAAAACTCGCACTAAGCACACTGTACAACATACGAATAAAAATTCAATGAATTAAATTAATTGAAAATATAAACTCTCACTTACCAAATATTTTAATGTGGGTAATCTGTTGAAACACGGCAATAATCGATGAATTATTATTTAATGATTGTACTAACTTAATACAGTTACATTATTCTAATTAATTAACTCAGTTACAATTGTAATTGAGTAACTTCTAATCTAATGAGTATGATCTTCTAATGAGTAAATTTTAATCGAGTAATTTACATTAAATTCTATTTGCAATCAAAGTTTTTTTTTTCGTTGCGTAACTTTTTTACGTACTTTAAATGCACATAACTTGTTAATTATTAAAACGATTCCCAGTGTAAAAAGCAGCAGTATTTGGTATGAACATAACGAATTAAAAATACTTTTACGGTTTAAGCTCGTCTGCCAACAAAACCAATAATAAAAAAAAAATGTAAAATATTTTAAATTGTACCTATTTATTTAATGAATATGACTATTCTTACGATCAAAAGAATCGTTTTCATATTGATTTGTTCTGGCCAGTATGATCTATTAGAGCAAAGTAATAAAGAAAAAATATTTTCGCTGGTAGCCTAAGGGGCTATTTCAGATACGCGCGGATGGGTAGGTGAGCTCATGGGCTCAATCTGAGAGAATTGCTAACACTAGCTCTAGCAAGAGCAGAGATTCGCAGAATCTACCACCGAATTGGATACGTAACTGAAAATATCCGGCGAGAAACTCAATGAAAAATTATTTATTCAACGTATAGAGAGAATTCATACCAAAAATAGTTTGAATTAAAAATCAGCTTATAATGTAAGCTGATCTTAAATTTATAATTCTAAGATCTGCTTACAGTCTTAAGCTTAGACATACTCTTGAGCCCGAGTGATGATGGGATTGGCCATATGACGATACTTTTTATTCTCTCTTGAGAAAATAATTTTAATATGTTATAATTGTAAATGTCTGCCGTGAAGCAGTAATGCGTTTCGGTTTGAAGGGTGGGGCAGCCGTTGTGACTATACTGAGACCTTAGAACTATATCTCAAGGTGTGTGGCGTATTTACGTTGTAGATGTCTATGGGCTCCAGTAACCACTTAACACCAGGTGGGCTGTGAGCTCGTCCACACATATAAGCAATAAAAAAAAAAAAAATTCTGTTGAGTTTGTCTAATAAAACCAATTCCACAATGTAAACGCGTGATTTGTTGAGTTACGATTCTATTGCATTAATCGGCAAATATTATGATAATTCTATTTTCTATTTACAGATTTTTAGATCGTCGTGATTTCCTAGAAAGAGCTGATATGAGGCAGTATGAAATCGAAAGAGAACTGAGGACAAGTCGCAGAAGCAATCGTTAAAGTTTTCGTGCAACGTTTTCTGAAGCAAGTGAATAATAGGCAAGCGGACCTCAATAACATTAGAAAATAAAAAACTAAAAATAATTTACATAAGAGATTTTATTAAAACAACCATTCAATTACTACTTTCGTGAAGTATAGAGTTGTAACATTTATACGTTCGCTAAACACCAATGATAACGTACTATCACATATTATTTAGCCAATCGTTGTATGTTAGAGTGTGATGGTCAGATCGTCGTTTATTTCACCCCAAGTGACGTCACGTGTAATGAAATTGTGTCCAGCCAAGTTTGTGCAGTTGAGTGTGTGCATTTTGAAAAAAGATCTCTAGTTCCTTATTGAGCTAAGAAATATATACTTTATTTTAATATCTGTTAATTGTAAATCTGTAACATGAGAATGACATAATAATATGTAGATACCTCAGTAATATGTTAGTCATAATATGCAGTGTCTGGAAATAAAATGGAAATGTTTCAAAACCTTACTTTTCTTTATTATCATTATGTAGATCTACTAGTCCACTTTCGTTGTATTTCCTTAGCAGCCAGGCCAGGAATATAGAAAATATACGTATAATATTTTTAACGTTCATGAGGCCAACAAGTTACTATCGAATTCAAAAAAAAATTTACTAGTAAAAGCTACATGGACATCTGTTCCGGGAAGTGCACAAAAAAAAAGACAAATGAGAATTCTAAAAACACTGATATACGTTTTCTTACTCTTCTTTGATTTCTCCTTATCTATTTTAATCAATTTCTGTATTGATTCGATATTGATTGCGATAATGATGAGTTTTTGTTTTAAATATCTTCCTATATAAATCTGATAGTGGTTATTGTCGCTTATTTTTGTATCTAATAAAAGCGAATTTCGTAGACAACATTTAGAGATGATTTCGGAATCCCATCAAACCAAGCCTCTAGACTGCTCCAGAACAAAAAATATTCGTATTTCGTATAAGTACATATAGTCCTCGGAAGTGTCGTGCTACGGAAGTCGTCGTGGCCTAACGGATAAGACGTCCGGTGCATTCGTGTTGAGCGATGCATCGGTGTTCGAATCCCGCAGGCGGGTACCAATTTTTCTAATGAAATACGTACTCAACAAATGTTCACGATTGATTTCCACCGTGAAGGAATAACATCGTGTAATAAAAATGAAACCCGCAAAATTATAATTTGCGTAATTACTGGTGGTAGGACCTCTTGTGAGTCCGCACGGGTAGGTACCACCGCCCTGCCTATTTCTGCCGTGAAGCAGTAATGCGTTTCGGTTTGAAGGGTGGGGTAGCCGTTGTAACTATACTGAGACTTTAGAACTTGTATCTCAAGGTGGGTGGCGCGTCTACGTTGTGGATGTCTATGGGCTCCAGTAACCACTTAACATCAGGTGGGCTGTAAGCTCGTCCATCCATCTAAGCAATAAAAAAAAAAAAAAAAAAAAAAAACGCTATTTGCGATCTAAGTGCCTACCTACGTGATAAAATGAAACTAAACCATTTTACATTCCGTGTTACATTCAGTACAGTTAAAAACCCCCAGTAAAACCCTTTTTTTCCCGACTATGTGACAATTTACAAATTGTACAGTTTTATTTCCGTCATTTTAGCCATCGTAGATTTACTCAAGTTATTGTCCCAGTTAATTCATTGATACACCTTCTCACATCCAAATAACTTTAAGAGTAAATATGCCTGGCCAAAGTGTATCGTTAATTTTCTTTAGTATAGGGTCAACAATAGTTAAATGGCTTGCAAGGCCTGTTTCGTTCGTTCTATTCAATCACGTCAATGAGAAACACTCGTACAAGCAATCAATTTCAATTTGAGCAAGCGTCTCAGTCTCACCGCCAACGATTTGCACACGTTGTGCTAATCAAGCACTAAACAGTTTGTTTGCCGAGGCCGCGGTGTCACATTGCATTGCAGTACTGAATTTGCATTCGTGAGTTCATGACTGTTGCTTTGTGCTATAAAATATTAATTTCACCCATAAACAATTCTGTAACGTAGGCGAAGTGTTTCGATGTAAAAATGACCACGTATGGAAGATGGACCCTTTGCCACAGCGATATGGATGGCGTCAAGGTATAGATCTATTTTGTTATGAATGCAGTTTAATTGTAATTTTTAGATATCATTTGATCGTTTGACAAAATAATATTTTTAAATTTGTCTTATTTTATCAAATTCATTTAAGTTCAATCTGGCAAATTATATTATTTATACGATACTTGAGTACACTTAGAGGTTTTGTACTCATAGTACATACAATGTTTATGTTCATCGCGTTATTTGTTTATTTATTAGTCACACAATGCACATTACAAGCAAAAAAGCAGTAATGCGTTTCGGCTTGAAGGGTGGGGCAGCCGTTGTAACTATAGTACTTTAGACCTAAGAACTTATATCTCAAGGTGGGTGGCGCATTTACGTTGTAGATGTCTATGGGCTCCAGTAACCACTTAACACCAGGTGGGCTGTAAGCTCTCCCACCCATCTAAGCAATAAAAAAAAAGAAAAAAAAAGAAAAGATACACAATAAATAACAACACGTAAAAAATTTGGCTTGTAACATTCATTCTCGTCGGTATCGCACCTCTAATGCTATAGATATGTACGAGTAATAGGTGCCTTCTTTATGAACTCTAAAAAGTGACTAAAAAACAAATGTTTATCAGCATGAATATGCTGACTATTTCTTATTAAACAACAGTTCTTTATAGTGGCTTGAATTTTATACTTTGTTATAAAAGCTTATGACACGATTCTTGTTCCTTACATATGCAAATAACGGGTGACACCTACAACAACAATAACCAAGGACTAGACTATAATCTAGGGCTTACAGGTAAAATGACGTAATCTGGACCAGTGAACGTAGAAAGGAGAAGTGAACGAGCTACCCAGTGCCTACACAGCCTCGATTTCCGCCTACGCACTTCTAGAACCTAAGACCTTCGTGAATTTTCATTATTTTAATAATAATCGGAAATTTTATTCTTACGTTACCAAGATTAGCAAATGTTTGGAATGAAACATCAATCATTTCGTTGATATGGTAGATAAATTTTTTTTGGTTGATTACTAATATAGATACGTACCTACTATACCTACTACGTAAAGTATTGAAATCAAAGATAAGATTATTCATAGAGCAAATTAAGAATTTACTTCAGCTATTGCGTACAAAATTGACGTTTATTAGATAAATAATGAACAATAACTTGTAGATAGCTAGCTGGTCTTCGTCATTGGACTTATTGAAGTCTTTAAGCAACTTCGAACACTGAAGGAGGGTTCTTGCTTGTCGGACGCCGGCAAAAAATTACCAAGAAAATATAATCCTTATTAATCCAATAATATTGTTATTGTCGATACTTAAAATCGTTAATATTTAAAACAAAACTGTTTAGTCTACCCTTCGGGGTATGTTCCTAATTTATAGTTTTTTTTTTTATTGCCCCTGTAGGCAGACGAGCATACGGCCCACCTGATGGTGAGTGGTTACCGTCGCCCATGGACTTCAGCAATGTCAGGGGCAGAGCCAAGCCGCTGCCTACCGCTTAATACTCTCCACAAGCCTCGTTTGGAAGGACATGTCATAGCGCATGTCATAGTTATGGTTATGTTGTATGTTCATATGTAAATATCTATGTACTCTGTATTTTGTATGTTTTATTGCTTTAGACAGATGAGTTCACGGTCATTCTAGTGACAAGTTGTCAACGAGACTCCGAAACAACCCAACGCGAATTTTTGCACCCATAGATATGAGATATGAGTGTCCGGCTTTCAAACAGAAATAACCTGGATGGTGGTGGCTATTAGATCGGACCCTTTACCACTTAAATGTATTATTTACCAAAATGTGTTCTAGATCGTGTCATAAGTACTTCTTTCTAAAAAACCCATACTGGATATGCAATGGCTTCGTTTTGAAACAATGCAATTATTGTCAAGCTCCATAATGTTTGCTCAGGTGTAAATTGCCTCAGGCGAGATTTGTATAAATGAATGGGCCACAGCGAGTACTACGGTATAGTGCGCATGTGTACTCCCTCACTCGATAACCGCACTACGACCGTGAGTTAGACACGTGTTCAGCTGAGCAGCGGTCTTTACCGCCTTGCCTGAAAGGTATGATCGAGATGAAGGAGGCTGTGCTGCGGCTCTGATTGTGATGATCGCGACATAGCGACGCACGAGGGCCGTGGGCGAAGGCGCGGGGTGAACGATGCGCGCGACCGCCATCAGCCGCACGCTAGCCCAGTGTACAATCTATGCGCCAGTCGAATACTCGCGTCAGTCGATGAGGGCGTCAGTTCGTTGTCTCGATCTTATCGCGTTTTTTGTACGTTGCCGCATTTGAATTAAGCGAATTTAATTTTTGGGTCTTCATTAAGTTAATGAGAAAAATATTAAATTTTCGTTGAGCATCATAGTCACGCTCTATCGTGGCGAAGCTTTTTAAAGTCGTGGAAAACAATTTTTGAGGGAAAGTGATTTTTTGTTGTGCGAAGCGTCGAGGAGTCGGTATCAGGCGGGCGCGCGGCTCCTAGTGTCGTGTTGGTGGATGGTGCGGCGAGGGCGGGCGCCGGGGCGCGGCCGGCGGCGCCGCTAGCGAAATGTCGATACCCCTGGGCCGGGAGACTGTGCTCCCCACACAGGTGAGCCTCGCTGGGTTTTCGCGTTTTCTACGATACTAACCCTCCATCGATATTTACACTTCGTTACAATTGAATATGCAATTTCGAAAAGGGCACATGTCGCATATTTNTGGTGGATGGTGCGGCGAGGGCGGGCGCCGGGGCGCGGCCGGCGGCGCCGCTAGCGAAATGTCGATACCCCTGGGCCGGGAGACTGTGCTCCCCACACAGGTGAGCCTCGCTGGGTTTTCGCGTTTTCTACGATACTAACCCTCCATCGATATTTACACTTCGTTACAATTGAATATGCAATTTCGAAAAGGGCACATGTCGCATATTTTGTCAAATACGTTTTTTCATATACATGTAATTTTGATGCTTACTTACACCCATTATAGTAATTCCAGTAATTTTCAATTGCTAATTAACACTACAATATATCTCAAAAGTTAATATTTTAAATTTTACACTGCTTTAGAAAATAATCAGTTTTTTTTTTCATTTCCTGAACATTTTACATTTTCAGAGATGTGCCCTTTTCGAAATTGCATATTCAATTACATTGACATAAATTATATTAAATTTAAATTACCTGCTTAACAGTAAAACAGATTGTAAACTAATTTGTTGGATATACTGTTTTTAACATGGAAAGCCATTACGAAAATAGTTTCTTTATCGTTTCTAAGTAATGTCCACATTATACGCAACATGTTTTACAAAGAATTTTTAAGTTATCTTATCGTGTATCGTAGTAAGCTGATAATCTACGTAAATTTTTAGATGGATGTTTTTGTAGATATTCTAAAATTAATTTAAATAAATTTTATGTTACATTTTGAATCTACTCTTTTGAATCCGATACGATTAAAATATTCATGACGTTGATGTAAAATGATATTCTTAATCGTTTGATAGTTAAAACGCTGACTGTTTAATTCATTTTGTGTTATCGGAATTTTATAAACATGTACGGTAGTACATGAAAACTGTAACGCTGTTAATAATATTGCCATATTTTAATTAAAACTACTTCTACGGCTTAATTTGTTTATTGTACGACTGACTGTCGTCCGTGACCACGAAAACTGTTAAGTATTTGAAATGTCGTAAATAATGTAAGGATAATAAATTAAACCTTAATTTTTTTATTATGTCTAGGTACGAATCGCGAAAACCGTAGAAACTATCGTATCTTATCGCATCTTCCGGATCCGTGCTCGGTGCTTTTAAGCTCTACAAGCACCAGATACCGTTCTCGTCGAACTCGTTGATTACGACGAAGAGTTCGACGAGCGAACTAACCCATAGACAAAATGACCATGGATCTTCGCAGTGGGTCGTGATTCCGAGCCGGTGGTAGATTCTGCGAAGCACTGCTCTTGTTAGGGCCAGTGTTAGCAAACTCTCAATTTGACCCCGTAAGCTCACTTACGTCTCCTCACCTCAACCAGTCCGTGAATAGCCCCTTAGATTACGAGTGATTAGGCAGCGAAAAAAAATATATGAGTAAAACTTTTTGGCAGGGAACTGCTGAAGTTCCTCTTAAAAAATTTATTCAATGTAATATTAATCCGGGATATCTTTTTGTATTCAAGTTGTTTTTTCTATATTAAATGGTACAAAGACTTTTTTGAATACTGGATTTAAGATAACCGTAGCGAAGCCGTAAATTGATTAACACAGGTACCTACTTTCATACTTTAATTATTATTATAATATGAAGTATTAAATATTTTCGTTGTAGTAAATTCAAATCTCATGTTCCCGTAATTTAAATCCGAGGCCGTTGAACGGATTGAGAAATTTAAATCGTGGACATACTTACGACCCACCTGATGGTAAGAAGTCACCATCGCTGAGAACATTTACAACACTTAATGAATTTTAAATTTAATTATCTTTGTCTATACATAAACTATATTATAACATCGTACTCAGTGTGTATAAATGAAATTTGTCATTTACAATTTATGAGCCTCTGTACAATCTTCTATCGATTAAAAAACAACGACAATTGACATTGGAACTTCATACATACAACAAAATAATGAAAAAAAAAAGTTTTTAAAGAGAATAAATAGAAATACGGCTTAGCCGCGTTTATCATTTATACACTATCACTTCACGTTTTTCATTTATACGAACACTTTATAGTTCGCGTCGTAACAGGGAATTAGGATATTAGAACGCAAAAGAAAAAAAAACATTTGAATATCGCGCCACTGCGATCTTGGCATCCTCCTAGCGTCGCTCTTCTCATAACTCGTGACTTCACCGCTGCTGTGAGCTGAGGAGAGCTTAGACTCCACTTTAAATGCGATTTTTGGACAAATCTTTTGAAGTGTTTACTGCTCACTGCTGTAACGAACATTTAGAAAATGGGAAGACTTTTCTACCGAATATTATTTACGTTTGCTACATATTCGCCAATAATGCGGTGTCGACCAAAATAAAAATAAAAAAACTAATGGAAACGTTGAAACTTGTTATTCAATTCTTTATTTTGATTACATGCTTTATAATTGATATTGTGAAATTTATTATTTACGATTCAAACCAAGAAATCATGGTTCTTCTTCAAGCCCCAAGAAAGACTTGTGCGGTTCAACCAAGGGCGGATCCAGCTTTGGCGCCAGGAGGGGTTCACATAGTCGTGGTCAAGTTAAGAACTTATAATATAATTTTGATAACAATAGATACAAGTACAAATCATTATGTTCAATTAGTGGTCCACCTAAGTCCTGGAACCAGCTCAGGGGGGGGTCATGACACCCATGACCCCCCCTGGATCCGCCGTTCGGTCCAACGTCTACCAATGCAGTTCTTTTCTACAAAAGAAAAAGATATATAAATTACAGTTTCCGAAGCGAAGCGAGGGCGAGTCGCTAGTAAATTATAAAAACAAAAAATATAAAAACATTGGTTAACACTGTACAACATTGGTTATATTGTAACTCCAATCAGCATCTCTCGATTTTCGTGTTCATAAATTACAGCGTACACAATAATATTATGACCTTTGTAGCGAATACGACGGAAAGAACAATTCTAATGTCACATGTGTAGTCAATGACCGTGCGTTTGCCTCTAACAAGTAACGGCAATGTTACCATCTATGGTCACATCGTACACTTGACACTGACAGTGGAAATGGGCCCATAAACAGGTAGCCACTACATTGGCTTCCATTACCCTATTTCAGAATTTCCTATAAGTTCATTGTATTAATGTCAGGTAATATTAGTGATTCACTGTTCATCAATGTTAGAATTCTCAGAAATATATATTTTCATTTTAATGTGCATAAAACGTTAATCACATTAAGTACGTGGTGCCTAACAACTTTAGTTACATTAATAATGGGGAAAAAAACATTTAAATATATTGTCATTCAGTAGGGAAATCGTCTCTGGCGCCAAATAGTTTTCAATTAGTCAAATCGTTGTAGGTGAGTCATTGAGATCATTAGTGCAAAGAGCGACATTTTTTGTTAAATTTTTAGTACATTAAAACTTCCAAGACTTAACTCAATAAAATAATAAGAAGTAGGTTGAATTGGCACTTAATTTCATGTGTCACAATACATAGGATGGGTCCATAGACCTATAAAGGATGGGTTCTAGATATTGTAACACGTGAAGTAACTTGTCATAAAACTGCAAACTAGATTATAGATTATATTATTTCATACGTTAGTGAGGTGAATCATGAACTTAGAATAAATGCCAACACGTAATGATGTACATTCTCAAAAAAAAAAAAAAAAACATTAGCTGCGAATGATAGCGGTTTCCGTAAGTGCTCATACTAAGTATTGAATTATGTGATGAAAGTTTTTTGGTCGATTCGCTATTGATATAAAAAAACGAAAAACAAAACCCTGTTTTTCCATAAGCAAACATCGGCAAGTTTCTCAGTTCTAAGCTCCACCACATTGCAGCCTAAGTTGTAGACTGTTTTCATGCACTCTTGTGATACATATAGTACTTTCGCTCCTTTCAGTCTATTTTAATATCACTAAGCTAAAACACGTTATTTTAAGTCGTCTAGTGCGAAGTCGGTAGATATTAGTCGTTCTTTAACATTTACTTTAAGAAAGGTCTTTTCGTACAATAAATAAGGTTTATTAAGTTTAGAAATGAGTATTGAATAAAATTGTTAAGCTTGCGTTATTTATTGCGTTATCTAAGAAAATACAAAAATCGGCGTCTGCTGCACTTGTCTGTGTTCAAAAGTGAATGTCATTGTAATAAGTAATAAGGAACGTACTATGTGCATCCATAAAATTAATATGGTACAGACTCGACAATATATCTAAATGAGTTTGGTAATCTTTAAGTATTTACCAATGTGTAAATAAGGTCACACCTCGATTACATCAAGTTCAGTGTCCGTCTTCTTGCGCCATTTACAACCATACGCGTAGTTTCAACGTGAATCATTTTCCGAGTAAACCCCAAGACCGGATTTCGAAGTAGGATCTAGAAAATAATTTACACCAACGCCTGTCTAGTAGGTTCTCAAATTTTCATTGATTTAATAAGATGCCTTGACTACTTCGAACTCTGTTTTTTTTTCGTATGAATGGTGATTTAACTTCCAGAGATTAAAACCACGGAACTTTTACTTTGAGAACATTTTGAAATTATGAAAATAATATTATGTTATACATAATCTAGGAAGAAAGGATAGTTTGCGACCACGTTGCGAAATAACAAGTTTTTTATTAGATAGGACCGTAATAGGGATGTTTCTAAACTAAATTAATTTAAAAAAAAACCGTGAAATTGCTAGCCTTCTTTTTTGGTTACTTAATTTGTTAAAAGCAATAAGTGAATTAATTTGTTTGCTTATATAATAACATTATTATAAGCAACAAAAAAACAAATAATAAATATTTATAATTAAAATTTCTTCTTCAACCCACTGCTTATTTTTATTTATTTGTCTTAAACATAAAATCAATATTGTAAATTGTATGTTCGGTTGTGGATAGCATGCTGTGTGACCTCCTTAAGACCAATTCAAGCAATTGGCATTTAATAGTCCTACTTTATTTTTTTAATAATTTATGAAATTTTCAATAACTCGTTTAACTGGATTTATAATACATACAAATTTTAAGTTTATATCGTACAATAAATTGTTATATGTTTCGTTATTATAAACATAAATGTTTTATGCGATTTAATTCAGTTAAAATGTGAATTGTTTTTTCTATTATTAAT